AGGTTTGGACGCTGGGACCCTGGCTCCAAATCCAGTGTTCTTTCCAGTGTAGCCTGCTTCTTTTCTTCCTTTTTTTTTTTTTTGCCATCATCTCAGCTTTAGCGCACTTGACAATAGCGACAGGGGTGTCCTGATACTGGTCATTATTCCATATATATTTGTGACTAGCTCAATCTCACTGTATGGTGAAAAATAGGCAATTCTGAGTGGGGACCTTATGTAGTCACAGGCTTTTCAGCAGTGTTAACAGGTGACAGAGATGAAATCACTCTAGAAGATACATTCACAGATGACTTCAGAGACTGCACAGGCCACCTATTTACTCTCCCCCTCCCTCTACCCCATTTTACAGATAAGGAAACTGAGGCCTACAGAGATTAAGGGGTTTGCCCAAGATCATATAGGTAATAAATGTAAGAGGTGGGATTTGATTTCAGTCCTCTGATTTCAGAGACAGTTATACTCTTCCTATTGGACCATATCAGTTTGTTTGTTGTTTTTGGTTTTTTTTTTTTAGAAGACAGGACATCTCTAGCAGGCTTAGCTCTCCTTTCTCAAGCATTTCTCATTATAAACCACAAAGAAGTTTATCAGCTGCTGACATAAGTCAATGGGTTATATCCATGTTTCTTTCTTTAATTCTATTCTTTCACTATCATATGTTGTTTAGTACCATAGCAATTCATGCGGTCAAGACATTACTCCACCACATAGTTATTGATAGACTATTCACTTGTAGTTATAATTAATGTACCAGACTCTCAAAGTCCCAAGTCCCAAAGCCCACTAAGATGGGATTCTCTCTTCCTTGGTGGAAATCAATGCCCTGTGCATGTGGAAAGGGTGGAATTGATTTCCACCAATGAAAAAAGAAGCTTATACTAGTGGGCATTAGGACTTGGATTACACTATCTTTAATCTTTAGCATTTAATTTATTCATCTTGGATATTCTGAGCTAGAAATGTGATATGTCTAACCTAATTCAAAAACCGAGAATCTGCTAAGATGACATGTAGACTTCTTGTCGAGACTCTCTGGACAAAATTTAAGTAATTTCCATAGGCAACAGGATAACAATAAGATCCATATGATCAATGACCCAATGGCCCATATAGACACATACTGGCTGTGTGCTCCTGGGTAAGTCACTTAACCTCTCAATGGCCCCAGGCAACTTTCTCAAACTGTCATTTGCAGAGCATGTACTAGTCTATACTGGTAGAGAGAGTTTATTCAATTGAACACTTGGGAGTTCACTCACTCTACTAATGAAATCATAGATTTGGTCAATTGTATTTAATCAGAGTGGTTAGTAGAAACAACAGTCACTTGGAGTCTAGAGACCCGAGTTTCAATACTAACTCTACTACTTTGGGTAGTTACCTAAATTCTCTTATGTAAATATTACTTTTTCTACATAATTCACACATTCTTTATGGGGAATCACATGAAATAATGTCTGTACAGGCACTTCATTAACTACCAAGAATTATACCAGCGTAATGTGGAGAGAGGTACTTTCGTACTACACAAATATTGACCTTGATGTTAAATAATAATAACAATAGCTCATGGAATGCTTCTACAACTTATAAAATGAGTCCTTCCCAACAACCTTGTGATGGAGCTATTATAAGTATTATCATCTCCATTTTATGGATGTAGATATTAAGGCTTGAGAAGATTAAGGACTTTGCCCCTGGTCACACAGCTCAAAAGGATCAGGATACAAAACCAGGATCCCTGACTCAACAGGCCAAAATTCTTTCTATTTGAGATGTGAAATATAACCCAAAGGGACATTTTGATGATCAGGCTATTGGCGATTGATATACAGACACTATTTTTTTTTTACCAGTATGTTTTTTGATTTGTTCCCTAAAAGGCTATATTTCTAGTCTTTGTTAGACACTATTTTAGGGAAAACCATGAGACACAAAGTACTTGTGTACACAGGGCTTATAAATTCTAAGGGCTATGGAGTGAATCCAAGTACGTTGGAGAACTCGCTAATTCTCACTTGATAAGCTGCCAAGGTCAAAGTCATCATTTTATCCCCCACGAATGAAATAGAGATGTGATTTCAAAGGTCATGTTTTAGAGGCGTTCGTCAATATTGCTATCGACCACTCATCTACAGGCATTCAGCATTAGGGGAACAACTCAAAATACAGGACTGAACAGAAAGTAAGGCTTCCTCCCTTTTAACTCCTTGGCCAGATACTTGAGCTTGGGGGAAAAAATTCCCACTTATGTTTTGTTTTGGGGGGCAGAATTTGACCCATGAGTTTCCTTTTACCACTATAGAAATTACAATGAAATTCACCAGATGACCCTACAACCAAAAGCAGAAAAATCTGACTGGGATCTGTAGTGCCATGGGTCCAAAGCTCAGTAACACAGGTATAGAGCACTGGACTTTTAAACCTGTGTTGCAGTTTATATCTTGGATAGTGACAGGGTTATCCCAAACTGAAAAAAAAAAAAAACTTGATTATTGCCCGTCTGAATAGCCCAGGAGAATTTGAAGCTCTTTGAAGGTAGAACTGTCTTCATTTTTGCTTTTTGTATCCTCAATGCCCAGTATTGCATCTGGCACATGAGGGACAAAAAAAGCTCAGTGCATAAACAGTAGGCCATTTTGGTTAGCCACACTGGCTTCCTTTTCATGTGGCTCTGGACTTCAGATGGCTTATGAGACCTACCTACTTTTGTCTGCAGTACTATGGGACAGGGAAACAGAGTCTGGGAGGAGATGGAAAGGGGAGTCTGCTCTGGTTTGGCTTAGTCTTGGGAACTGGAAAGACTTCCAGAAGGCAGAAAATATGGAGATAACCTAGGAGATTTTGACTGAGTTACCAAGCACAGAAATGACCTCTTAAAGTTTTGGGCTCTTGGTGCTTACATTGTGACACCTAGACCAGGGATAAAACCCTTCACATCCTTCCTCAACCCAGATCTGGACTGGAGAAGAGGGTGTCAAATTTTAGGGTACTTCTAGCCACATCCTAGTCATTGTTATTCTTGCCCATATGTGGGAAAAGGTTTCAAGGGATTAATTACTTGTAGTGGATATTTATCAGTTTGAAAGACATAGGGAAATAGAACCAACCAGCTCTCTGAAGGCAAAACACATCTCCTATTACTCTCTATCTCAATCCTATGCCATGCACACTGTGAACCCACAATTAAAGTCAAGTGAATTAAACTGTACTGAACAATTGCTGATGGTTGACCCAGGAGATCAAAATTAAATGTGACTACTCTTCAATCAGCCCTAAGCTTGAATCTCATTCTCAATTCTTAACCTAAAATTTGGAATTTTTCCTACAGATCTCTTATGTTCTCACTATACTCAGGGAACCTCAAAGAATAAATAATCTCTTTTTTTTTGGTTTTGTTGGTTGTGGTAACAGATAATTGAAACAGATGATCCATCAATGTAAGCCAAATATTTCACCACATGAATCTTAAAGGGATGTGTATGTGGTTATACACGTGGATTAAATTAATCGGGCCATTTCTAGAAAGGCTTTTGAAATTAGTAAATTTTTAAAAATGTGGACATGATCTAGGAGATTTTTTTTTGTTTATACAAGCTGGGTTTTGTAATGACACGGGTCCTTCATATCTCTAATGAAAACCTCATTTAGTGCCTCCTCCAGATCTACTTTCCTTTCTGCCATTGCCAGTCATGTCTAGCAAATGCATTGTCTTAAACATTCATTCAAAAACCCAGTTATTTCTAAAAGAGATGGGCAGCAAGATAATCTAAAGTGTGAGAGCATGCCCTTTTAAAGAATGTGCTTTTTAACTATGGGTGCCTTTATAAGAGCTGTAATTTAGAACAGAATTTGCTAAGTGAGACAGACACCTCTGCCACCTTCACTTCCTGGCAATGATTCATCTGCTTATAAATATCCTTTAGTATCTTAGAAATCTCAGAAATGGAAGGGACCTTGGAGGAGTCATCTAAACCTAATGTCCTTGTTTTACCATTTTACAGATGAAGAAATGGAAAACCAGAGAAATTTAGTAATTTTCATAGCCATTTAGTGGCAGGGCAGAGACAGAAAGTCAGAGGTGCTGAGTTCAAATACTGCCACTACCTGTGTGACCTTGATCAAGTTACAACCTTTCTGGTCCTCAGTTTCCTCATTTGGGTAGTGACAGGCTACCCCAAACTGAAAAAATCTTGACTATTGACCATCTGAATAGCCCAGGAGATGGTCTCTGAGGTCCCCTTCTGCCTCTAAATCTAGATTTTCACTGGCTGTCCCTCATGCCTGGAATGTTCTTCCTCTTTATCTTAACATCATGACAACCTTGGCTTCTTTCAAGTCCCTTAGAATCCCACGTTCTACCAGAAGGTAACCCTTTCCTGATCTCTCTTAATTCTAGTGCCTTCCTCTGTTGATTATTTCCAATTTATCATATGTATAAGCTTGTCTATACATAGTTGTTTTCATATTGTATCCCTTATTAGATTATGAGTTCTTTAGAGCAGAGGCTATCTTTTGACCTTCGTTGTATCCCCAGTGCTTAGCACAGTGCCTGGCACATAGTAGGCACTTAATAAATGTTTACTGACTGATAGATCTATGATCCTATGAATTCAGGTCTCCTTAATTCTCTAGGGTGCTTTTCACTATCACGTTCTGTTTTGTACTTAAATACTGAAATAGATCTGTGACCAAACGAAATACCATATATGTAAAGTAATGTGCAAACTTTAGTATAAACTATAAAACCTAAAAGTAAAAAATATAAAAGTTAGGTATTACCTCATTAATTTGTATGTGCCCTCAAACAATTCTGAACTCACCTGTTCCTTCCCACCCTTGCCCTGGCCTCTTGTTCATGTTTTCCGTCCAGCTAACCCTGGCTTAGAAAGAACTACATTTCAAGGCATATTGATAATGAAAAATCACTAAAACACCTTAACAAAAGCACAGGATTGGGGGGTGGGGGTGAGAATCCACATAAAACAGTAGCTTACATATTGAGGGGCAGCTGGACCTTTGGGGATGTTCCCTGTTCTCCAACAACTGCACTTGTCCGGGGCCCAGCCACCGTAGCAGATCCAGCTGAAGAAGAGTCCTGGAATTAGATAACAGAAGCAAAAGAAGAAAAAAAAGTAAGAATTCTTGAGTTCAGAGTATGAGTTTTCCCAAAGGAGAATGATCAAAGGCCAGGCAGCCTACCAGAAGAGTTTTTTCCCTGATGTCCTAGCTCAGCTGTCCTGTGCAGCCATGGACCTTTTTAGCTTTGAGAATCCTAAGAACACACTCCTGGAACAGGGGACATCAGCAAATTAACCACATTACTCTAGGCCTGTCAAAATCACTCAACTGAGACTTGCATACTAGCCCCCAAACAACTTTGAAGAGAGAACATACCTGACTAGCATAGAAAGCCATTTCTCCATTAATATCCTTTGGGTGGCATCCAATTCGATTAATGCAACTGTATTTTTGAAAAGGATAGTAGGTTGTGTGTTTGGAGGCTTGGTTTACTCAAACTTGAGTTAAATCTCTGTGTTTATTATTGTTTTTGAAAAAGCAGAACAAAGGAGAAAATCTCACCAAAACCAAACCAAAACCTTTCATGTTGCCAGACTTTGAGTTCCCTTAAACATTACATTATAGGGGACCCTAGAGTAATCTCTTTAAAGAAAATGACAACTCTGGTACTGTACAAGAGGAAGGTATTGAAAAATGACCAAGTTTTATATAGTATCTCTTTTATTTGCTTTCTCTTTCTGTCTCATACACAGAATTTTTGTACACATACATGTTTTATACACAAAGTTTAATGTTTTATACACAATATACATATGTATACATATACTACATACACACATGCAATATATATGTGTGTATATACACACACACACATGCACACACACACACGTACTATCCATTAGACTGCAAGCTCCTTGAGGGCAGGGACTTTCTTTTGCCTCTTTTTGTATCCTCAGCACTTAGCACAGTGCCTGGTGCATAGTAGGTGCTTAATAAATGTTTATTGAATGAATATGTGTGTATATATGCATATATATGTATATATATGTATATCTATATCAATCTTAAAGTACTCAACAAACTTTGAGCTTATATTGTATAGGGAGAGCATTTAACTAACTGCTGAAACAGTGATGAATTTTTTTTGAATGAAATATACAACACTATTGAAAGACAGGATGATTTAGATAGGCTAGACATCTGGCTTCAGAATTAGGAAAACCCAAGGTTCAAGCTCTGCCCTTGATAATTCTTAACTGAGTGACTCTGGGAACATCTCTTACCCTTTCAGTACCCCAGGCACCTTTTTAAAACTATAAAAATTGCAGAGAAGTTGCTTAACTGCATTGTGGGAGATTTTTCTCATCAAGAGCTGCTAGATTGATGAATTGATAGGTATGTATGTATATATATATATGTGTGTGTGTGTGTGTGTGTGTGTGTATATATATATATATATATATATATTTAGAGAGAGAGATTTGTTATTGTTATTGTTCAGTCCTTTCAGTTGTGTCTGACTCTTTGTGATCCCATTTAGGGTTTTCTTGGAAAATGCACTGGAGTGGTTTTCAATTTCCTTCTCCAGCTTATTTTATAGATAAGGAAACAGACAAACAGGGCTAAGTGACTTGACCAGAGTGACAAAGCTATTAAGTATCTAAGGCTTGGACTCAGGAAAATGAGTCTTTCTGACTTCAGGCCCAACACTCTACATACTACATCACTTAGTTGCATACAGACACATATACACACACACTAAACAATTTAAGAAGCAAAAGATATTCTATCTACCTGAAGACAGAGGGTACAGAGAAATCTGAATTACATAATTAGTCATGCCAAGGGTACAGCCTGTATGGTGGCTAGTACACAAGGAATGAGAAGCCATAGGTATGTATCCATTCCTCAATACCCAAGCAACCATTGCTCCTTTCTCCAAGTTCAGGCCTCCTATCACTTTTTTGCTTTTATCTGTGCTGCTCCCTATCAGCTGTTACCACTCATTCCAAAGTCTTATGCTTGTTATGGTCTAGACTAAGTGATGGGGAGAGAAGAAGCAGGAAGGATCCTCTCCTGGCATGGATGTCCCATACTCTTAGTTGTTAGTGTGTTGGGACATCCACATTGTTTTTTGTCTTGATGACAGTTGGACCCACCATCCCTAATAGAACCAGTAGTTGGATACTCTAACAGGGGGACAAGAAGAGATGGATGAGGCTATAAGAGAGATGCCCAAAGCTCTGGCTCGCAGGTGAAGTTCACAAAGAATCATCAATACAGAAACTACAGGGAAATCAGAACTTAACTAGTCCAACCCCCTCATTTTGTAAATGTGAAAAAGAGGCCTATTGAGGCTAAGTGATTTGAAAGTCACAGAGATAAATGAGCATCATAGTCAAAATTTGAATCCAAATCCTCTGACTCTGAAGCCAGTACTCTTTACACTAAACCACCCTACCTCTCTGATTGGGTAATAAATTAAAAAGCTAGAACTTGCAGTAAGTTAGTCGGTTAATAAATATTATTGAAGCACCTACTATGTGCCTGGCACTATGCTAAGTGCTATAGACACAAACAAAAGGTAAAAGACAGTCCCTGCATCAACAAGTTCACAATATAGTGGGGGATACAACATGAAAACAAGATATATACAAGATAAATTAGAGATAACCAACAAAAAGAATTAAAAGGGAATCAGGAAAGGCTCCTGGCAGAAGGTGGGATTTCTGATGGGATTTGAAGGAATCCAGAAGGTGGAAATGAGGAAGAAGAAAATTCTAGGCTAGATAGAGTTCAGTTCCAGGCATGCAGGACAGCCAGTGAAAATGCCTGGAGTGAGGAGACGGAATGTCTAATTTGAAGACCAGAAAGGAGGCCAGTGACTGGATCACAGAGTACATGGTAAGGGTAAGGAGTAAGAAAACCAGAAAGGTAGGAAGGATGCAAGTTATAGAGGGCTTTAAAAGTCAAACAGAGGATTTTATATTTGATCCTGGAGATAATACGGTTGACTGAGTAGGAGGTGACATAGTCATTCTTGTGCTTTAGAAAGATCAGTTTGACAGCTGAGTGTTTGACAGCTGGAATGGGAAAGAGACTTGAGGCAGAAATACCAGCCACTAGGATTGTTGCAATAGTCCAGGCCGTGAGGTGATGAGGGTCAACCATATCCTACCTTTGACAATAATAGGGAAGTTTGGAGGGGGAGGGTTTTGGGGTAAAGATAATGAGCTAGTTTTGGACACAAGAATTTAAGATGTCTGTAAGAATCCAGTCTGAAATGCCTAATAAACAGTAGGAGTTGCAAGACAGGAGGTTAAGAGAAAAGTTGAAACCAGACAAATAAATCTGAATATCATTTGCATTGAGATGATAATTGAAACCATGGAGACTGATGAGGCTACCAAGTAAAACAATATAGAAGAAGAGAAAATGGCTAGGACAGAATGTTGGGAGACACTCATAGTTAACAGGCATGACCCAGATGAAGATCCAGCAAAGATCTACTAAGTAGGAGTGATCAGACAGATAGGACAAGAATCAGGACTAAATCCAGCATACCCATGTCAACCTCCACTGTCCCCTTCTACTATACCAAGCTGCCAAGTTGGAGACAGCTGGGTGATCAGAAGGCTGCTATGGTATCTGAGCCGAAGGTGTAGCACGGGCAGTGGATTTGAATAAGCTCTAGACAAAAACATTCCCTCAGAAGATTTCTATTCATCTGCATCACTTCCTTTGGCACTTCATGGGTGATTTCTCATCCATATTCTGGCCAGTGCCGATCCTGAATAGTTTACGAGGTCTAACAAGGTAGAGCTATAGGCAACCTATTGATTCTATACCATGTAGTTAACATCCCTCGATGACTGGGGACTAATAAAGGTGCTCAAAATATCTTGTGCTATTCACCACACAACATCTGTAATCTATAAGAATCAAGAAACTATACATTTTTTAAGAGCACAGAGTGTCTGGCAGGATGAAAAAATACTACAGCAATAGTAAAACTCTGCTTCATTCATGTCTCCAAGGTAACCCCAAGTCTCAAAGGACTTAACATTTCAAACACTGACACTTATGAGAGAAACCTTAGATTTTCAAAGACTGCCAAGATCCAATTTTCAAGTTGCAATAGCCCCTTTTTAGGTCTTGCCCTTTTAGCACAAATACACAGAAGCCCTATTTCCACACTTCAGAAAAGATGAAGAGGACCACGTGGGAGCTGAGGCTGAAGGGGGGCGCCTGGAGCCCCATGCTTCTTTTACACAAACACGGACCCTAGGATGTTTTCCTTTTGTAGTTCAGTTACATTAAGATGGTTGGCAGTGATTGTGCTAAAAAAGGACTTGCACTTGCTCTCAATTAAGATTGAATATTGGGAAATATTCCCCTAAAATATCTGAGACACAGCATGGCCAATGGATAGAATGACAGACTTGGAGTCAGGAAGACCTGGGCTTAAAATACTGTTGTAGTTGTGTGAATCCAGCTGGGCAAATCACTTAGGTTTCTTATTCATTCATTCATTGACTAATTCATTCATTCATTTAAGGTAGGGTTGAATTAAGTGACCTGAGGTCCTTTGAGACCTAAATCTAAGATACTATGATCTCTACTCTATTGTCTCATCAGATAACATCCATCATAGCTGGTTGCAGACTGATTCACAGGAGACTGGACCTGTGATTTCATTCATATAAAGAACTCTTAGACGAGAAAACTCCCTGCATTAATATAAGTTGGCATCTTTTCTGAAACGTATAGTCTTAGAGGGTTAGAGGACCCAGAGCAGTGAGAGGACAACATAGATAGAACCATAAGGGAGAGACATCCAGAGAGTAAGGATGGCAGCTCAGACCTGATATGAAGGTTCTCAGATGGAAAGGTCATGAGATGAAGCCATGGAATGCAACTGGTAGCCAGAATGAGAATATGTGATAAACAAAGCAAATGCCCTCCTGTCACTGGCTGAAGGTAGAACCAAGGAACAAGGGAAGGGAAAGAAATAAATGTTTCTATAGCACTTACTACATGCTAGACGTGTAGTAATTAATGTCATGTGTTATACAT